ACTTGCTAAGATTTTGATTGGAATTTTGTTGAATTTATAGATCAAGGTGGGAAGAACTGATAATATTGTCTTCCAACAATCAACATGGAATAGCTCTCCACTTCTTTAAATGTTCTTTGATTTCTTCCATTACTATTGTAGTCTTCCTCACATAGGTCTTTTTTTAGATTTATACTTATTTCACATTTTTGTTGGTGCTAATGTAAATGGTGTGTTAATTTCAAATTCAGATTTTTCATTGCTGGTGATTACAAAATTAATTGGCTTTTGTATATTAACCTTGTATCCTGCAATCTTGCTATATACACTTAGTAGTTCCAGGGTTTTTTATGTTGATTCTTTGGGATTTTCTACATGGACAATCATGTCATCTGTGAAGTTATTTTTCTTCCCAATTTGTATACCTTCTTGTCTCACTGCATGAACTATGAATTCCAGTACAATGTGGAATAGCAGTGGTGGTGAGAAAGGACATCTTTGTTCCTAGTATTAGGGAGAAAATAGTTTCTCATCATTAAATATGATGTTAACTAGGCTTTTTTTGTATATGTTCTTTAGTTAGTTGAGAAAGCTTCTCTGTATTCCTAGTTTTGAGAGTTTTCATCACGCATGGGTGTTGGATTTTGTCAAATGCTTTTTCCACATCTATCAATATGATATTTTTCTTTGTTAGCCTATTGGTGTGATTACATTAGTTGAGATTTTCAAATGTTGAACCAGCCTCGCTTACTTGGAATAAATCCCACATGGTTGTGATGTATAATTAATATTGTTGTATTCAATTTGCTAATATTTTGTTGAGGATTTTTGCAACTATGTTCATAATAGATGTTAGTAGATTTCTTATAATATCTTTGTCTGGTTTTGGTATTAGGATAATGCTGGCCTCACAGAATGGATTAGGAAATATTCCCTCTGTTCTTACTTTCTGGAAGAAATTGTAGAGAATTGGTATAATTTGCTCCTTAAATGTTTGGTAGAATTCACAGTGAAACCATCTGGGCCTGGTGCTTTCTTTTTTGTAAGGCAATCATTATTATTTTTTGAGGAAGATTAGCCCTGAGCTAACATCCACCACCAATCTTCCTCTTTTTGCTGAGGAAGATTGGCCCTGAGTGAACATCCGTGCCCATCTTCCTCTATTTTATATGTGGGACACCTGCCACAGCATGGCTCGATAAGCGGTGCCATGTCCACACCCAGGATCTGAACTGGTGAACCCTGGGCAGCCAAAGCAGAGCATGTGAACTTAATCCCTACACCACCGGGCCAGGCCCTGTAAGGCAACCAATTATTGATTAAATTTCTTTAATAGATACAGGCCTATCTATTAGATAATCTATTTTTCCTTGAGTTTTGGTAGATTGTACCTTTCAAAAAATCAATTTCATCTTAGTTATCAAATTTGTAGGCAGAGTTGTTCACAATATTCCTTTATTCTTTTAATGCCCATGGGATCAGCAGATAGTGGCCCTTTTCCTTTCTCAGAGAGCCACTTTTCAATATTAAAAGTATGTCAGTGGCCTTTGGGGACTCCAAGAGGCTACCCTCTATAAAGGTTTCCACATGTTGCTAAGGTCTTTTGTTGGTTAGAGTCTATCCATCTCTTATCTCTACATTCCTGACTTTCCATTCTACCGGCTCTCTGAATTACTCTTGATGCTGTTAATAAAAAAAGGAGAAACACAAGGGCAGGAGGCCAGTCTTTGAAAAGATATTAACAAACTACGTAAGTTCTTTCCTAAATTCCCAAGAATGTCTATTTAGATGTTCTAGAAACTCTATGAGAAAAGGGGAAGTCTAGCCATCATCAGTTTAGTATAAATTGTCTTCACATTGGGAAAAACATCTTCTGAGATATGTGCTTAAAGGAATAATTTCAAGACTGCACTGCAGAAAGTTAGCAGTCCAGGAAAATTAAGGGAAAGAACACTTTGCTAGACTTGAACATAGAAATCTCAAATTAGCGCATGAAGACCAAAGAACAAGATAATTTGTGATTTATGGTATTAGTATTTAGGTGTACAGTAAAGCTGAAATGCTCTGTGTGAATGGATTTTTCTGACAGTTTTAAAAAAAATAATTAGAAATTGAATGGTGAGGCCAATTCCACAGCCATTTCATGCATAACCTCCAATTTCAAAATGCAGTCATCAAAATTGCTTTATAACTAACTTTTTCAACACTTTGGACTTCAGGTACAGAAAACTGGATTAATCATAATCCTCGGTTTATGACACCCTCAACACTGGTTCACATATGGCCTGATATTAGCTATGTCTAATATAAGCATTCCGAACCTACAATCAGAACCTACTTACTCTCAAAAATGTTGAGGCCTTGACCATATGGTACCACATCCCATGCCTCTTCTCATTTAAGGGTATCATCCTGAATTTTCTCTTCATCACTACTCTGCTTCCTCTTCATATAAAATACATCTATACGACTTGCAAAAAAAAGCGTATTTTATTAAATTTTTTATAGGTGAGCATGTTACATATTTTGAGATGTTTTTTGCTTACTATACTTCTATTTTGTTGTGTCACAGGGATCATCAGTTTTGATTACCATATAATAGTCCACTGTAAGAATCTATCACATTTTATTTAACTATTCTTCACTGGGGACTTAGGTTGTTTCTGGGTCTTTGCTTTTGTAAATAGTGCTATGAAAATTCTTATACAGGTCTCTTGTTATCTATGTGCAAGTTTTTCTTGGGTATACACTTAGGAGTGAAATTTCTGGATTATGGTATATGTGAAAGTCCAACTTTAAAAACTAAGGCCAAACCTTCCAAGGGATTGAACCACTTTTGGTTAACACCAGCAACCTATAAGAGATTATGTGGATCCCAACACTAGACATTACCAAACTTTTAAACTTTTAAATTTTAAAGTATAAAATGGTATCTCATTGTGTTCTTGATTTGCATTGTAACTTCTCCCAGTTTGTGACTCATCTTTTCACTTTCTTTGAAGAAAGGTATCTTGCAGTATGTGTTGTTGAATAGAGCACCTCATTTTAGTAGACAAACTCATCAACACCACTTTCAGTTAAGGCCTTGTGTCTTAAGTAGTCCTTCTCTATCCCAAGGTCTAAGCAGCAGTCACCTTTACTTTTTTTTTTTCCTGAGTTTTAAAATTTAGTCTTTTACATTTAAGACATTTCTTTCTTTTCTTATGTCTGGTGTGAGATAGGGATCAATTTTCACCTTTTCCCATACAGATAACCAATTGTTCTAGCTCTAATTACCAGACAGACAGACTCCTTTCCCCAGTGTGGTGTGCCACGTCTCTCTTATACCAGAGTTCAGTCCATGCATGGTTCTTCCGGGTAATCTAGTCTATTCCATTGGGAAATCTGTACATCCCTTAGCAAATATCATGCTATTTTAATTAACATTGCTTCATAGTGAGTCCTAACATGTGACAAGTGCCCACATCCCTGCTCTTAATTTTCTGAAATGTCCTAGCCCTTCGCTTTCTTTTACTTTTTACTTTAGAACTGCCTTAACAAGCTCCATTAGAAAACCTGGTGGGATTTTGAGTGGACCAGCTTTGAATCTATCGGTCTATAAATAACATCTTTATGATAATTGTCTTTCTAGCATGAACATGTCTATTTATTTTGGTCTTAGTTATTATGCCGAAATAATGCTTTAGAGTTTTCCTAAAGAGGTCTTTGACATATATTGTTAATTTTCTAAGTACCTGGTATTGATACTATTCTAAATGGTGTTTTTGGGTTTTTTAGTTATGACTGCTGTAATGAAATGCAACTGGCTTCTGAAAATCAATGTTGTATCTAGCTACCTAACTAAACTTTGTATTTCTAGTACTTTCTCTATAGATTTGGGTTTTCTACAAAAACAAACATGTAATGTACAAATAGTGTTTCCTCCTTTCTACTTCTTATGACTTTGTTTTGACTTACTCTATTATCTAGGATCTCCAACACAATTTTGAATGTAAGTAGTGATAGCAGGTAGCCCTTTTAAAAGGGAATGAGTTCTTTTCTTTTTGGAACGTGCTTGCTTTTTTGTTTGGTTGGTTTTACATAGAAACTATCAGCTTAAGGAAACTCCTTTCTAGCACTAATTTATCAACAGTTTTTATCATAAATGGATGTTAAACTCTATTATATACGTTAACTGAATCTATTGAGATTGTTATACAGTCTTCTCTTATTTTAATCTGTTAATGCGACAAATTACATTTACAGACTTTAATCCTAAGCCATCATTACATACTAAGATAGAACACACAAGTAGAGTAGTAAGTAAACAAATTTAGGGAGCTGGCCCCATGGCCAAGTGGTTAAGTTCATGCGCTCCACTTCAGCGGCCCAGGGTTTCACCGGTTCAAATCCTGGGTGCGGACGTGGCACCGCTCATCAGGCCATGTTGAGGCGGCGTCCCACACGCCACAACTAGAAGGACCAATAACTAAGAACATACCACTATGTACTGGGGGGCTTTGGGGAGGAAAAGGAAAAAAATTTTTTAAAAAAACAACAAATTTAAACCTATAAATTTATTTTGTAAAATACTGCTTTCATCTGTTTTACATATTTCATGTTGAAAAAAATGGTTGCTGGCAAATAAGTTTGAAAACCACAGGACAAATGATCTTGAGGGTCTTCCTACTCCAGAATTTTCTAATTGCCATGTTTGAATTATGCTCTTTCAGTTTCTCTAATCTTACCAGAAAAAGAAGCTTTTACTAGATGCTAATTCAATGAGAGAGTGCAGAACAGAAAATCAGGCAAGAAAATACGACATCCAAGTGATAGAAAGAAGTTCCTGGCTTTAAAGAAACGCTGATATCTTCAATTTACAGGAATGTAAGAATACAATTTATCATCAAAAGATTAGTCATAAATAGATACAAGATGAATGACAGTAGTACTCTTACAAAATTAATAAAGTAGAAAACCAAAGGACCAAAAATCAAAATGAACTACCAGAAAGAATATATAGAAAAAGTAACACAAGGGAATGCTACGGTTTTCCTTTTTATTTAATCAAAGACTGGTGGATAAACATAAATACAGCACAATTACTTCAGATCATTCTTCATATTGTATATACAGACTGATGAACGTAATGTGAAAGAAACCTGCAGTCAGCAATGAAACGCATACAGCTTTTCCTTTCCCTTGCTCAAAAAAATTTAAAAACACACAAACTTAGAATCTCATCAGCACACACTCCCTTGTGACAAATGATTCAGACATAAATAGTGGGTACAAAGAAACTATACGCTAACATATGTATAACCTTTGTTAATGAAAAAACAGAAGCAGCCATGATGATTAAGATACATTCAGTTACTGATAACTAGTTGTGCCCTCAAGGGCACTATCGAAAGAGAAATCATGCTGCAGAGAAAAAGCTATATATACATACACAATGAGAAAATAAACTGCAAGATCAACGCATGCATGTTTAATACTGGGAAAATCACAACCCTCCAAAATTTCTCCATATTTGTTATAAAAGCCCTCTGCACTCAACTAAAATTAAAATGATCTTAAAGGATAATACTCGTAAAGTTTACTTAAGTCTTTTCGGCCACAGAAACTGCAATGGAAATAAATGTTCAGAGTCATTTTCAAAACAAAAACAAAAATCTATTCTTCTGATGACATGCATGATTAAAAGTTCTATGCAAGATACATTGCTCTACATTCCCAACGACTAGGAAAAAAAAACCTCAAGTCAATTTTTAGTTTGCAGATGGTCAAAGGATTTTGTATTCCAGCAGGAGTTCAAATCTTCTGGATCTTTTCACCAACAACTACTGGATTTTCTTTTCTGATTTTCTCAGCAGCATCAGCTTTGTAATTGTAAGAGCAATTGTGTACATCTGAGTAACGGTGCACACCACAGTAAACATTTCCACACCGGCATTCAAAGCCTGAAAATGGATTAACACACATACGTGAGTTGATGGAAGGTCTAAGTATTAAGCTCCTCAGCATAATTAATGGGAAAAAGATCACGTATTTAGGGCAGCAATCTAAGAATCACTCTAAACAAGCAGTTTCATGACCTAGTAACGTTCTCAAAATTCACTACCTGATAGCTCCATTTCTTGTTCCTATATACAAATATAGGTTTGTACCCCAGCAAGGCATACCCACTTCTCTGAGCTCAAGTTTTTCCACCTGTGACACGGCCACAATTACTTCCTATAAAAAACTGGATTGCTAAATTGAAAATGTGAAAACATTTCTCGAATACAAATACTACAATAGGAAAATAAGCATATGCTTAGAACGCAATCTTAAAATTTAATTAAGAAAGACGAAATGAAATTTCTGACAGAACTGTTAACACACAACACAGTATCCGTATTACTTTCCTTAGGTAACCTCCACTGGAGATGCGGACTATACTTTGGCTGAGTGATTAAGTGCATGGGATCTAGAGTTAGGTTGCCTAAAGCATGAATCTCCTTACTAACAGGCAAATTACTTAACCTCTCTGAACTCAGCTTCAGCTGAGTTACAGCTACATTCCCCATTTATGCTCCCTGAATATGCCTTATTCTTTCCTTTCTGAGTTTTCATTCAAGCTATTCTTTCTGCCTGAAATGCAGAGTTATAAATCCTCCCTATCCTTCAAGACTCAGCTGAAACATTCTGCCTTCATACATTCCTTTAAAGACCTCTACTCCACACTTCTCTTATATAAATTAATTCTCCTGTCCCTGAATTCCCAAAGCAATCTATCTGACTGCACTCAACGTACTTTCTTTACTAAATACCCAAGTAGTATTTTGAACATTTTTTTCTCCCTCTCTTAATAACAATACCATCTAAGAGCTCTGTTACATTAGTCAACGTATACTCATTACTTATTGTGAGGCAGCACGAGGCTAATCACCTTACATGTATTAACTCACTGAATCCTCGCAACAACCTATGATTAGCCATTTTACACAAAGTATCTCACAGCTCACCAAGTACTTAAATATTCTCTCTCATGCACATTTTCTGGCTCTTTGAAGGCAAGAGCCACATCTTTGCTCTTTCACAGCACCTGGCACACTGACCTTATTTGTCTAATATTCTCAAACTCAGCTGAAATGAATTTTTAAAAGAAAAGCTATTCATTTAACTTTTAGGTATACAATTAAAGCTACTTTTATTTCTTCAGGAAAATTCAGAAACTGATGCATACCCAGTATTAACTATCATGGGAACAGAAACAATCTTAATTGAAGCCAGTAACAGTAAGCCATGAGTTATTTTAAAACAATCAATTTTAAACCATTTGATTTAGGCCCTTACCAGTAAGTCCCACTTTCTTCCTGCACATGAAACAGCGATTCTTTTTCTGTTTTGGTTTATCAAGAGACTTGCTTTGCTCTTCAGATGGCTGCTGTGCTGTATCTGATACTGAAGCTGACAGAAATAGGAAGGTGGTAAAACTTATTCAGTAAGATTTGATATTTGGTGGTGGTTGTCCCCTGACCTCCACTGATCTGTTATTCAGAGAATAACCGAGGACTTTATCTATTAGCATGGAAAGATGCTCACATTAAGTTACAAAGTAGTTTATACAATATTACCCCCTTTTTGTTAAATGTATGTACGTATATATGTATGTATACATACACACATGCAGATCTAGAAAAATACATTGACGTGCTAACAGTAGCTCTAGAAAGTGCTGTATTTTCTAATTTTTCTAAAAATTATGTATTTGACCAATAAAAGGCACGTGCGCGTGCATGTGCGCGCATGCACACACACACACAGACACACACACAGACACACACACAGACACAACTTGGGTATTCTAAGAGAACGTATAAGAAAATGGCCATGTGTAAACTTCTAAATATTGCTGGGGTCAGAGCTATGTAGATTTCTCAGAGAACAAGGAAAAAAAGGCTGAAACCAAGATTCAGTGGAATACTAAGTATGTTTAAAATTCTCAGAATGTTTCAAATAATACCTTTAAAATGCTAGGAATAAGATAAATTTATTAAAATACCTTTAAAATGCTAGGAATAAGATAAATTTATTAAAATGTTATAATTAGATAATAAATTGCATTAATGTAGTGAAATCAAGGCCAGCTGCAACAAGATTCAAGTCAAATTACTGCCCGTACATCCTAAATAATGTGACCCCCTCCCTCCCGTCACTAACTACCCTGGCCTTCCTGAATTCTATCACCAGAGTAGAGTCCATAAACATGACCTAGCAGACATGACATCTTGCTCTAAAAACAGTCAGTGGCCTGCCACAGATCAAGTTGATATTTTGTCACCAACCAGTCCTTCAGGAATCTACTGCTCAACCAATCTACGGGGCTATACTAGGCACCTCTGCTCAGACTGTTACCAATTCAAAAGGGCTTCCTTTCTCTCCTTCATTTCATCTAGGTCCTCTTTTTCTTTTTTTTATGATTAAGCTCAAGTATCCCTTTCTCCAGGAAACTCCTGTCTCTGCAGCTTTTCATTCTAATTACCATTAACTCCCTTAAAAGTCTCTACCAAATACTGGGCACTTCACAAGAGCCCCCTTTTCAATCCATGCTTCAGATATTGCATCTAATCATCTGCCTTAAGTGAAAATCTAATGATGTGCCCCCCAACGTTTGAAGTTCTTTGATGACTTCCCACTACCCCCCAGGATGAAGTCCAGCGGTGCTTCATGATTTTTCTTATCCTTCTTTCTCTAGCCTTGTCTCTCACCATTCCTCAATAATACTCCATGCTTCAGTTGTACTGAAGTATCTGTAGTATTCCTGAACATACCAAATTCTCTCTTCCCTCTGGGCTTTTGAAAAGTTGTCCTTTCTATGTGGAACACTTTTTCCATGCCTTCTTGTCCCTCTCTTTATCTGGCTAAGTCCAATTGTCTTTCTTGTTTACGCTTATATCAACAACACTTACTCCATTCCCTTCCCCACAACTCAGAATAGGAAACCCTACTATGTGCCCCAATTGCACTTTCCACACTATTATTAATTGCCTATTTGACTTGACTTAGCTTTACGTGAACTCTTTCAGGACAAGAACCTGTCCTTTTCATCCCTGTTACCAGTGCCTAACCCAGTGCCTCCTATCACACAGCAGGCACTCAATAAAGATCTGTTGAATTGAATTACTGAATTACTTACCTTTTGTATTTATGTGCCCTGTTTCCCCAACTACACTGTAAGCCCGTTGAGGAGAGGGATGGTATCTTATTCCCTTTTTGAATCTCCAGCACCTATCATAGTGAACTACACATAGCAGATGCTCAAACATTTGGTATAATGGATTCTAAGCTGCTTATGTTAACATGTTATCTCATATTTTAAAAAAACATGACAAAAGGAAAAATTCCACAAACTAACAAGTAAATATGCAAGAATGAAGAACCCTACAACATGATTACTGCACCTAAACATTCTGAAGCTAGATGGGAGACAGTTCTACTAATATAAACATTTTATTTTTGAAACAGAATATGGACACGTAAAACCTTTTATTTTTAATAAATATCTCTAGAATGTAAGCTCCATGAGGCAGGGGCTGAATGTCTTGTTTATTGCTTTTTATCCCCAGCCCCTAGAACAGTATCAGATAAGGTTTAGCTTTGTGTAAAGAGCTCAAAAATAGTTTAACCTGAAATCAGGAAAGCTACTATATTTATTGTCTTTGAAATCTATAAGCCATAATGTCTAACCTGTTTTCCCAAGAGAGTCTGATATTCAAATAAGCAAATATAAATAATGCTTTAATGGCAGTAACAACGCTACCACAAGATTACAATTTTAACGAAACTGGCTGTAACCACTGAGACACAAACTTTGAATGGTATCTGGAAATGGAGAAGCGTGGAAATACATTTATCTGCTATGCATAGAAATGCTACTGCATACCTCAACAAAGACATTTCACAGTATGAACCCCAGAGATCCGCCCAAGGGAAAAGGTTTCTTTTTAACTAAGGCAAATGCACAACCTTTAAACTTAGGGATCAGTTAAACATTGGCAATGTAAATGCTTTTTTTAAGCTAGGGCTCAAATTTGAGGCTGATCAATGTCCACTATATCCCCATTAGACCAAGGTAACCTCAGCTTACCTTAAACTAGTGGCTGTCAGCCTGAATTTAAACATTCACCAAATGAATTCATGGGCAAGATGACATAGTACTCTGTAAAAGTCTATGATACCCAGAAATTACCCCACTTTCCTGTTTATATATGAGATTTAAGACCAAAGCATGATTTATCAAACTCTAAGTTATGTAAAAGGAAACAATTAAATCTTTTATAAGGGCCGTACATTGGATTAAAGGCCAAAAGATCATAATCTTATTGAACTTGAAGCCAAAATATGGACAGTTTCCTCAGAACTAGGCAGCTTTTCACATTCTGAAAGGAGAATTGGAAACAGATCACCTGCTTGTTAATGATTAAGAACAGGCGGCTGCCTATGTTGCATCCACTGGTCCTAAAGGTCTATTTGGGAGGCCAAAGCAATGGCATAAAAGCTGTGAAATAAACTGTATAGCACTTGCTAACTTAATTTTTAATGGGAATCCCAACTAGACAAAGTCTGTTGGCCACTACTTTTAAGATACTTCAAACAACACCAGGCAGGTAAAATTAGTTTAACTACCCACATGGAGGATCACATTCAAGAGGAACAAGGCCCTCTGCTCTGGGTCCTGTAAAAAAAGAAAGAAAGAAAGAAAAAAGTACACAAATATAACAATGAGTACACAAAACTATTTAGCACTATCTTGGTTTGGAGGCATAGTCATACACATGGTAAAAAATAAAACTGAACATAACATGACATTTATAGGTAACCCCCAAACATTACCTTACAGTAGATACAATATCTCTGTCATGTATACCTTCCTCAGAGTCATGACAAGTCTCCTCATTCAAGGATTAGACTAAGCATTTTGAGGGGACTATTTCTGCTCACCATTGTACTCCCAGTGCTGACACAGAACAGCTGTTCAACAGTTACTTATTGAATGAGTGTACACTTTTACAATGATCCATTGCGATAAAATTCATTTCCTTTCTCTGGACCTAATTTTCTTATATGCAAAACAAGAAGTTGGACCAACTGATCTTTAAATTATCCCTAGTTCAAAAATTCTTTACAAAATGAGAAAAACTTAAAACTTCAAGAGAAAAATAAGCCTGTATAGTAGCAGGGTCCAAAAGAAATATAATGAGAGTCATATATTTAATTTTATATTTTTTAGCAGCCATGTTAAAAAGTAAAAATAGATAAAAATATATTACCATATAAAATGTAATCAATATGAAAAATATTTCTGAAATACTTCACATTTTCTTTGGTAATAAGTCTTCAAAACCCAGTGTATATGTTACACTTACAGTGTAACTAGCAAATAAACATGTACTAAATATCTAACTTTGGACTAGCCACATTTCAAGTGCTCAGCAGCTATACGAGGCTAGTGGCCACCATCCTGGACAGGGTAGCTCTGCAGTGAGATCAGTTTTTATTAGCAGCTATCTGGGGGGCAAGAAACTCTTAATCTTCTCAAAAAACAACTTTGTGTCATCTTAAAAACCAAACAAACAAAAAGGAGCCAATCTTCAAAATGGCTCGCTACCTTGACCACTGATAGAAACAAATACCTTAGGGATTTCCTATGATCTGGTTCTAAATCACCTTTCCAGCTTTAGTTCCAACATATACTTGCCAGAACTAGCCACCGCAGCAGCTGTTGTTCTATTTCCCAAATTTCATCTTTTCCTACCTGTATGCTTTTGCTCTCACAATTTTTTCGCCAGCAAAAAAGCCCTCTTCACTATGCCTATCTTTCATATAAACGGAATCATACAGTATGTGGCCTTTTGTACCTGGCTTCCTTTATTTAGCATGTTTTCAAAGTTCATTCATGTTGCTCTATGTATCAGAACTTCATGCCTTTATATGGCTGAGTAACATTCCTCTGTGTGGATATACCATACTTTATTTATCTAATGATCTGCTGATGGCCGTTGGGGTTGTTTCCACATTTTGGTAACTATGAATAATAATGCTATGAAGAGTCTTACACAAGTTTTTGTGTCGACACATATTTTCAATCTCTTGGGAATTCGGAATGGAATTTCTGGGTCATATAGTTACATCTGTTTAACTTTCTGAGTTAACTTTTTAACTGCCAAAGTGTTTCCCAAAGTGGCTGCACAATTTTGCATTCCCTACAACAATGTGTGAGGGTTCAAATTTCTCCACATCCTTAACAACACTTGGCCATTTATATATCTTCTTTGGTGAAACGTCTATTCAAATCTTTTATCCTTTTAAAAATTGGGTTGTCTTTTTATTGTTGAATTGTAATTTTTTTTTATATATTCTTACCACATATATGATTTATAAATTCTTTTTCCCATTCTGTGGGTTGTCTTTTCACTCTCTTAATCATGTCCTTGGAAGCAAAAGTAAGTTTTTAATTTTGATGTAGTTTAATTTATCTATCTTTTCTTTGGCTGCTTGTGCTTTTTAGGTGTCATATCTAAGAAACAATTGCCTAATTGCCTAATTGAAGGTCATGAAGATTTACACCTGTTATCATTTGAAAGTTTTATAGTGTTAGCTCTTACATTTAGGTGTCTGAAGTATTCTGGGTAGCTTTTTGTATATGGTATGAGGGAGGGGTACAAATTCATTCCTTTAAACGTTTCAGCATTGGGGCCAGCCCTGTGGCCAAGTGGTTAAGTTCATGCGCTACACTTTGGTGGCACAGGTTTGCTGGTTTGGATTCTGTGCCCAGCCCTACACACTGCTCATCAAGCCATGCTGTGGCGGCATCCCAGATAGAAGAACTAGAATGACCTACAACTAGGATAAACTCCTATGTACTGGGGCTTTGGGGTGAAAAAAAAAGAAGATTGGCAACAGATGTCTTCTCACCAAAAAAAGCATACTTAAAAACAAAAAAAGGTAACAATCTAAAAAAAAAAAGTCCCAGCATCATTTGTTGAAAAGACTATTCTTTCCCTATTGAATGATCTTGGCACCCTTGTTGAAAATCAACTGCCCGCAAAAAGTAGGAGTGTATTTCTGGACTCTCAATTCTATTCCTTGATCTGTGTAACTAGCTTCATGCTAGTACCACGTTGGCTTGATTACTGTAGCTTGTATTCAAGTTCTGAAGTTGGGAATTGTTAGTCCTCCTCCAACTTTGTTCTACCTTGTCAAGACTGTTTTGGCTGTTCTCACCCACTCGTTAAAATCAGAACAAATCTCGAATTTTTAATCTGGACAGCTTTCCTAAATTAGTCCAAAGGGACTGTTTCTGATTGTTCTGAACCACTGATTTGACAATTCAACTCTGTATAAAGTGAGGAACCCTCAGAGCTGAAAAGAGTCTGAGAATTATAGTTCACTCTGCCACTCAGGGCAGCAATCCCCTCTACATTGTTCCTGACAATAACTCTAGCTTTCCAGAATGTTTCAGTGATGGAGAGCTTACCACCTTAGTATGTGATTTCATACTACTGTTGGAAAGCTTCAAGATTCTCTTATCCTAAGCCTCCTAGAACTCCCAAGTCACTGTTGCATTATAAAGAATAAGAACATCCTTTGTAGTTTACAAAGCTCATTTTACCTCCATTATTGTACTGACTTCTAATACCCTATAAGGTGGACACGGTTATTATTCTCCTTTAAAAGTAATGAAAACAAGGCTTAGAGTAGTAGGGGGTGTCAAGATATGAAAACAGAACCTCTGAAACCAAATTCCATATTCCTTTTACTATGTTCCAATCTTTGATGGACAGAGAGGTCAACAGAAGTTAAGCATTTTGTTCAATAAGGCAATCAAATATGATAGTTTAGAGCGGACCAAAACACTTAAAAGTTTTTTTTTTTAAAAGCTAGCTTTTGTGAACTGGAAATCTGACATTCGTAAGTGACACTGTGTAAGTGAGGTACTGCTATTTGTTAAATTAAAAAGCATAATTAAATGAGAAACATGCTGTAATATGCTAAATCCCCAATTAAACATGAGAATAAAATGAAGAATAAAAATTCTTCAGAGCCACGTCTTTGGAGCCACAAGGACAAAATGAAAGCAGTATCACCCACCTGGTGGCAACATATCCTAACTATAAGCAGGATATCTACTGAGAAAAAAGCTACTTCAACGACACTATTCTGAAAAGTCCAATAAAAAATGTTAGGAAATTCTGGCTTAGGCACACAGCTGCTACTCAGGTACCCTCTTCCATCTGGGGTGGTCTTCCTATCTAAATAAATTTCCCTTGAGGGATGCAAATAGAGTAAAAAGGAAGAAAACATATATCTGGGTAGGTCACCAAACCAATTGATCCTACCCTGTGAAGTGAGAGGGGCTGGATGTGGCAATAGGAACACATACATCCACATCCCAGTCCAGGAAGCACCACAACTGTCTAGTAGAAAGAATACTGGCCTACAGTCAGGTGCCTGGGTTCAAGTTCCAGCTCAAACGACCATAGGACTTGAGTCAAAGACTTTGTCTCTGTCTCTTTTCATCCATCTATCAAATAGACGGAAAAAAAATTCTCTGCGTGTGTTCCTAATAAACAGGAAAATCACAAGTACATTTATGAGTTATGAGTGTATGTATATATATATATAGACACACATATTTGTGTGCATGTTTATGATAAAAAAGACATTAATTCAATAGTATAAGTAAGATATTTTTTAAAACCAAGCTGTTAAGAGATTTTACATATTGAAAACTAATGCTCTCAAAGTCAGATGAAACTTGCACCTGATTTTTTCAAAGATTCTGCTATGCTGAAATTATGAATGCTGGTTTTTAAAGATACTTAAAAGTTAATACTGGTTTAACCTAAAAGTCATTGAAATCACACATGACAAAAGGAGTCTATAAATTCTTAAAACCCCCTACAACTTTTCCTAACATGGTATCAAGACCACCTTTTGCATTAATGTACTCAGGGCTAGGTGGAGAAAACTATGTTGTTCTTTATTTACCACGAATGGTATAAAAGCATTTCATATTATGATAGTTCACCAATTTATAATCTTCACTCTTTGTCACACTTGTACAATAACTGCTATTGTATCCTTGAGCAGCATACAGTTTTTCACTACCAACATTCTAAAATTTGTTCTATCATAAGACAAAAGTAACATTTTCATGATTAGCAGCCTGTTTCCATTCTTCCTTACTTGGCCATCTCTCAAAACTGCTAAGCAACCCTTGCTTCTTGAAATTCTCCCTTGGCATCTGTAGCCGAAAACTAACCAGGATCTAGATGACTTCTTCCTTTCCCCTTCGCTGACTCATTATCCTACTTGCTCTTCTTGATTTTAAACTCTCGTTTTTCAGCCTGTGCCAAGGATGTCCAAATCTTAGACATAAATACCGATCAAACATTTAAATACCTATTATCTACCTACGATTTCCAATTGAGCTCTTTTAGTTTTGAAATTTGATCACTTCCAACTTACTATATCTAAAATCTTGTCTAACAATATTCCTTTCTTCAGTCTCCTTGTTTAAAGCAATCATATCACTGCCACTGTCATAAAATTGAAAGTTTTAACACCACCCTTGTCTCATTTCCCATGTCCAATGGATAACTACATCTTGGGAATTTTTCTATTTCTACTTTAAAAATATCTCTCATTTCTGCTCTTCCTTAAACTTGTCTTTTTAACTAAAAAATTAATTATTTGCTTATAATATTTATGAATTTATAATAATATGCTGGATGGAGTAGAATACTTATGACCAGGATAGTATATTTTCTTGCTATAGCAAAATCTACAAATAGTAAAATTGTGCTAATCATTTCTTGGGCATGATACCAGAGCAAGGGGAATTACCTAGCTTAACTACATTTAAACTTAAGCAAACTAAAGATTGCCTGATATATCTGTTGCCACCCTGTGACACCATGTACAATGGAAGGTTTCACTGGTCAGAGCATCTTCTCTCTTTAAATCATGCCATAGGCAAAATGACACAATGCTCATCCTTGGGCTTGTCTTTCCAGAATGTCCTTCTTGAATTAACACATTGTTTCTACACACTGGTAGAATATAACTAATTAAGCATAGATTATTTAACAGCCTCCTAAATGCTTCCTCTACTATCTCTGTCCACTAAGAAAGCCTTCATACACATTTTCAAGTCTTCCTAGATCACTTTGATCCACATAATGGAGATATAAAGAGCACAGGCAAGAATAAGAGGCACTATGCCGGAGACACAAGTAATTGAATGTGACTATTGTGCTGTAAGTCACAGATGGGGAAAGGGGTGACTGCTAGTCAAGTTAAATAGTCTCTTAGACAATCTGAGTCATAAAACAAGAGATTTCTCTCAAGCCAGCAGCCCCAGTTTGCTTGGAGATGAAGTACTATTTAGATTAAACTGGCCAAAATAGCAAAAGAGAATAGAATACCACCACTCATTCATTTAATTCTATTTCTCAAAGTAAACAAATTCTAAATTTTCTATGTTTATGCCAATGATATAATTATATATGTGAGAAATGACTCCCAACATTTCAGTCAATTAAATACTTGAGAATATAAAATATTCTGCTCACAAAGAAAACAAATAGAAAATTATGTATTTTAGGCAGGTAATTTAAAAAATATACGCAGCTAGGACAGGGCCTGGCCTGTGACACTCGAATGTTAAACAAATGACAAAATACATGCTAGTTCATTTGCAAACCTTGCAGGTCTTCTGTTTCAGGTATTGCTTTGTCCACAGATGTACTGTCCACTTGGGAAGATGCTACAGATTCTGATAAAAGTGACTGATTTGATACAGGGCTAGAAAAGCAAATATATTTATAGATTTTAAAAGGCGATCTCTATGTATGAATAGTACCTAAAATGACATAAGAAGAGTTCAACATATCTAAGTAGATCAGTAAGACAAGAAGTAACACAAGAGATACTTTTTTATAACTTAGACATAACCATAGAGCTTTGAAACTAGAGACCAATTTGGACCAGAAGTTTATTTCTTTGGAAATAAAGGAAGTGTGCGTGTGTCCTTTGTGTATGAATTCGCTAAATGAAAATTAGCATGCTAAAGATCTACTTAAGGGACCCTAAAACAAAGTTGTAAATGATATACTGGCATAGCAGAACTGAACATTTCTTATTATGAACTGCAAGAAGGAACTACAGAGTAGAAACTTAATATTTGTTTCCTAACAACAGAATAAAAATGAAACAAATATTTCTGTATTTTCAGGCTTCTAAATGATGTGAATTCAAAGTTAAAAAGGAAAAAATACATTACAATACAAATAAATATGAGTATGACGTCATGATATTGAATAAAGAGAATCTGTGACAAGACTTTTTTTAATACAAAGTACTAATACTTGCAAAATAAGACTATAATTAGAAGAACTTAACTTCAAAAGGACTTCAGGGATGGGTCAGGATAGATTATGAGGAAGAATAAAGGAAAAGCTGTCTAAAAAGGAAATCTGAGACTTAAAAGACAACCTCCCACCTCCATTCCAATGTAAAAACAATGAAAAGCCCTTTTTAACTTGTCAGCAATAATAATGAGACAGATACAATTTTAGGCCACTTAATTCTAAAGTGACTTTATACAGTTTTCCTTAATAGAATTGATCAAATAAATATAGTCTTTATTTTTCATTAGCTTTCCAATCAAATTCAGAGACTACATCTTACCTTGGCTGCACAGATGAAGACGTAGGGTCTAACGTTGACTGAGCTTCTGGGACACTGTCGTTTGTGCACTGAACTGGTAAAGATTCAGACAGACTACTGACAGAAGTTGCTGTAACAGTACCACATTTCACATTACAGATTCTGTACTCTGGGCAGTCCAACACTTTATCTCAAACAACCAAGATCAATTTTCCACAAAATATAGTAAGGAACATGCTGACTTTTAGTTCAAAATTTTTCAATAGTTTTCCAATGAAAAAATGTTAATTTTAAGCAAGAAGGAAACCATATACAAATTGTATATATTAATAAACTAAACTCCTATTTCTCAGGACTCAATATCACGCAAACCCTTTAATTAAAAAAAAAATTTCCAAGTACTAGTGTACAAATGAGTTATTTAAAATAAAAGACAACTTAGCAGTAAGGGAAACAGGTTCAGAATTAAAATCCATGCTCAGCACACTGGGTTATATTATTTTCCATGTTTTTCGTAAGGCAGAAAGATAGCTGATGATTTAATCAAAAAAAGCTTATATTCATCTGATCTCAGCCTTAAGAAAATTTGAAGAAGTTTTGATTAAATGGTTTTAGCTTTTGGCTTAAACATGAAAGCAGTGACGAGAAAGACTCCACACCAAATTTTAAAACTAAGTAACAGCCTGCACTTTCATTAACCACAAAAATCTATACATTTAGGCATTAACCTATACAAAAGTATCCTAGATGAATACTATTAATACTTTACTTTTGTAAAGCTTACAATCCTCAAGATCAGTACGCAACTACTGAGACAAACGCCCACCTCAATTCCAAAAGAAACCTTTCACACAAAAGGCATAAAGAACTCAAGTGAACTAGGGTTGAACATCCCTTATTCTGAGTCAAATTGCCACATCTCTCCTTTCTAGTGGAGCAAGGCTTTGGCTAAAGTCAGCTGTGGCTATCTATAACCCACTCTGTCCGTCTAGAACTATTTTGGCTTCAAAACTCACATAAAAGAACCAACGTCCTCTTATAGTCCCCACTGCCTTACACCTTACTTTCCAAAATAGCTATACTATATACTTGAAGTATGCCTCGATTTTAATAAGACAATAGAATTCTGTAGCACAGCAAGTAAGACTACAGAATGGATTTATAGTAGTTATTTTCAGTGGGGAAGGATACTCTTATTTCTGTTTCCCTAACACTGAGAATCACAACATGCAATAAAAAATTTTCCTGATATGAATACAGTAATATAACTACAATGTGAGAGCAGAAAAAGGTATATTGGGTACATTGTGCTATCCAAGTGTAACTCAATTATGAATACTACTATGTTTTAACAGAAATACTTACCAGGTGGGCTTATTCTACCATTACTACTATTCTGTCTTTGAAGATGTTCTTTATAACATACTGAACACATGCCATTTGTACGAGGGTTTCCATAAAATCCGCAGCCAGTAGAACAAAGCATAGGCACTTGGCTGTGATTAGTTTCTTGAGCCATGTTCCTCTGTCACACACCTGAAATTTACATATAATTAGCAAAGAACTCAGATACACACTACAATCATACATTACGTAAACTTGCTTTACATAAGAAAGGAAAACCCACATACACTTCCCCCTTAAACCATTCTATGCAGCTGTCTCAAGACCTAGGGCTAAGATAGAGAGAGAAAAAATAAAGACCAAAAGGATACAAACTGAACTTTTATGTCCAACCCACTCTACACAAGCAGGTTTGTACTGGCTCAGAAAGTATAAAGATCTCCTAGAGAGGTATCTGTTCTGAAGACTCCACACTATCAGAATCTTAAGGAAAATCCTTTGAGTCTAGTTCAGTTTGGACTCCTAGTAATAAGAAATATAAGTTTTGCTATATGTTACACTATTAATTTCTAAGCATTTAGACTTTTGCTCAAAGTTCATGTTTTAACTCATGTAATTTATTCTGTTTAAAAACCATGTAACATAATATCAATGCTGGTGAAGAAATGGGCAGAATGCTGGTAAAATGAGAAACTGGTTCAACCTTTTTGGAAAGCAACTTAGCAATTCATCTTAAGAGCCTTGTAAAAGACTGCCCTCTGAACTAGTCATTCTCCTACAGGGGTCTTGAATAGAATAACTGGGGTATAGTCAGAAAAGAAAACAAAGGATAATATACAAGATGGGGCTGGTCCAGTGGCCGACTGGTTAAGTTTGCGTGCTCCGCTGCAGGCGGCCCAGTGTTTCATTGGTTTGAATCCTGGGCGCGGACATGGCACTGCTCATCAAACCACGCTGAGGCAGCGTCCCACATGCCACAACTAGAAGGACCCACAACGAAGAATACACAACTATGTACCGGGGGTCTTTGGGGAGAAAAAGGAAAAAAATAAAATCTTAAAAAAAAAAAAAGATAATATACAAGAGATGTGCTTCACAGCATACTTATAATGTTGACAAATGTAAAATAACTTAAACATCCAACATTATGAGAATGGATTTTTTCAAAAGTTATGCCGTCATTACAAATATCTTAGGAATACTCCCTGAAGGAGAAAAATACTGATGTAATCAATGAAAAGACAAAATATGAAATGTATATACAATATACTGCCAATTAGGACAAAAAAGAGCATCTATTAATCATCAGAAAGAACAGGAAAGAATATATCCAAGGATGGCAAAGCTAACGGTGACTTTTCCTCTGAGTTGTACCTTTTCAGTACTTTTAAAGTCCTCTTAAATGAAGATACTACCTGGCTAATTTGGAACAAATTATTTGTTTATTTATTTTAGGAAGATTAGCCCTGAGCTATCATCTGCTGCCAATCCTCCTCTTTTTTGCTGAGGAAGACTGGCCCTGAGCCAACATCCATGCCCATCTTCCTCTACTTTATATGTGGGACGCCTGCCACAGCATGGCTTGCCAAGCAGTGCCATGTCCGCACCCAGGATCCGAACTGTTGAACCCCAGGCTGCTGAAGCAGAACGTGCGAACTTAACTGCTGCGCCACCGGGCCAGCCCCTATTTTCTAAAAGTATTTAAAATTTAAAAAACTAACAGGACAGAGGAACTGTTTGGAGACCACATGAAGGCAATAATCAATTACAGCAGATGGAAGAACCCCACGTGTCATTTCTCCCATAAAGCAAGTGGTTCTTTGGCATGAACAACATGACAGAATAACAGGTTCTTTGATATAAAAAAAAAACAAAAAACCCTCCTCAATGAAATGAAGGCTACTCCAAAATAAGTTCATGTATGTTTACAGATGAGTCTATGTTCAAAGATCATGAAGGAGGGGGCCAGCCCGGTGGCGCAGCGGTTAAGTTCGCACGTTCCGCTTCTCCGCGGCCCGCGGTTCGCTGGTTCGGATCCCGGGTGCGGACATGACACTGCTTGGCAGCCATGCTGTGGTAGGCGTCCCACGTATAAACTAGAGGAAGATAGGCACGGATGTTAGCTCAGAGCCAGGCTTCCTCAGCAAAAAGAGGAGGACTGGCAGTAGTTAGCTAAGGGCTAATCTTCCTCAAAAACAAAAAACCAAAAAAACAAAAAAAACAAAGATCATGAAGGAGAAGACTATCAAAGGAGGACAACGTTTTGCCACTAAAGTCTCCTTGAATTGATAAACACTGAAGGAAAGTATTCACTGTTTAGCATTAACAGATATTTTCTTCACCTAAATCATTTGAAAAGACTGTTGTGGGTTGGGGGGGATTTAACGCAAATTTCAGAACCAAGAGCAATAATGCATTTGACCAGATTATAAAACAAAGCAGCAGGCTTAGCATTTGCCTTTAAAATGAAATGTCCTAAAACTGTTCAGAATATTTAGACCTTTAGCCTAGGAATACAATTTGGGAGTTTAAACAAACATCCTTCTTACTCCATGATGGCAAGTCATTTCAGAATTCAATCTTTGCTGCTCTGCTTTATAATACATGACACTTTAAGGCACCTCCCTCTCCTTCTGTTCTGCAATATACATATCAAATAAAAAAATAATGATGGGATAGAAAAGCTAACGTTAAACAAAACTTCGTTGATTTTTTTGGCCTACGTTCCTAGAGATAGCGTGTGTTTGGTTTTTGGTATCAGGGTAATTGCTCAAGGTCATGGAAGTAGCTAATAAGTGATGGAGCTGCCATGATTCAGTAGAGGTAGTCTGGTTCCAAAGTCCATGTTCTAAATCAGTGATTTTCAAAGTGTGCTCCATGAATCCCTAGGGAGGTCAAAACTGTTTGCACACTAAGGCTAGCTAGTTATCTGCCTTTTTCACCACGCTGACGTACGCACTAGTGATGCAAAAGCAATGCTGGGTAAAACACCTGGAGCCTTAACAGGGAGCCAAATTAAGACAGTGGCACCAAAATATACTACTAGTCATATTCTTCACCACCACACTCTCACAGTAAAATTATGAATTTTATTAAATCTTGACCGTGAACACACACATCTTGTTAATGTTTTGTGACAAACTGGGAAGTACACAGAATGCATTCCTGTTGCATAAAGTATGATGACTGTTTGAAGAAAAAGTACTTGTGCAACTGTTTGATGCAAGCTGATCAAGTCACCTTTTTCATGGAACATGTTTTTTATTTCAAAGAATGACTGACAAACTATGGTTATTTAGAGTTGTGTACATGCAGACATTTTCACAAAAATGAATGAAGTCAATCTGTTAATTCAAGAAAAACAGCTAATCGTATTTATTGGCAAGGACAATATTCAAGTGAAAAAAACCTTGACAAGTAGCTCCAATTTTTAGTTTCTCATAAGATCAGTGGTGATATTAATGATATGTTAGTAGTTGGTACTATATATGAACATTTGGAAGATCTGCAGAAGTCAGTGAACCCAATATTTTCCAAGCGACCAAAGTACAACAGTACAAAAGTACTCATGAACAAAAGATAATTCAAAGCAAAGGATAGGTCAATGAATTTTAAAGTAACAGGACAAAAAGTTTTTATATAGTTTGAGATTCTACACTGCAACTAACCCTTTAAGAAACTACAAATTGTCAAGTTTTGGTGTAATATCAAACAGCAACCTCTATTGTCTGAAAAGGTTATGAAAATACTCCTTCCTTTTCCAACTACATATCTGTATGACACTGTTTTTTCTTTCTAACACTGTAAGAGATTGAATGCAGAGGCAACTATGAGTATCTTGCTGTTTGTTATTAAGCTAGACCTTAAAGAGATTTGCAAAAATGTTAACAATGCCACTTCTCTCACTAAACCATAGGTGGGAAAGGTAATTTTGCATAAACTATTTTTAAATAAATTAATAAATATTTTGTAATTTTTCTCAGCCTTAATTTGAAATATGATAAATACCACTAGATATAACACACATAAACAAAAGTTCTTCAGAGTACTCATTAATTTTAGAGACTATAAAGGTCCTGAAGCCCAAAATTTTAAGATTCCACTGCTGTAAACTATGAGAATCAATGCAGGCAGTTATCACCTCAAGGGAACAAACACTGACTCTTTAAGGGAAGGGAGCACGAGAAAACATTACTCTTTATGTATAAAACACAGATATATATACATAATACATAATTAGATATATAGTATATCTGTGGAATTAAAATTTTATGAAGGTGGGAGGCTGATTAGGAAAAAAACTGTTTAAAAAGACTCTTTAGCGGGAGGAACAAAGAAAGATTAAGCAACACTGTTCTAAACCACCAACCCATTCTATGCTGCCTATTAATGACATTAAAATGATATAAGAAAAGAAAATTAAAGGAAGTTTCTCCACTGGTACTGATAAATTTTTCAGTATATAACTGGCAATCACAAGCATCCAGAAAAGAGAAATATTCTATTTCTATAAAAACTTAAGTAAATGGTCACAGATTAAAAGCACAATATGACCACCACGCCTTTAAAGCACAGTACCTGCTATTGAACAATAAGATTAAAATTCAAAAATATGTAACACTAGCAATTTCCCCAAGCCAAACTGCCCTGCGCAGTAGCAAATTAACAATGATTCTTATAAGAGCTTTCCTATTGTAAAAAACTATCATTCAGGCAGACAAAAAACACAAAAGGATTTCACGGGTTACTTAGAAAAGAAAAGAAAAAAAATCAACCTTATTTATTCATCTTTAGACCACTAAATGTACCTTTCCATGAAGATTCAGAAAAAAACCAAAATCATAAAAGGGTATCTTAGTACATCTTAGTGGCAAAGATAGGGTAGCTATGGAGAAACTGGAATTCTTGCTTTCCTCTTGCTACTGTATCTTTTTGTTGGTAAACAATTTGCAGGGCCCATCAGTCTGGCATTCAGGAAGGAAATGAGGGAAGGGAAGAGAATGAGAAGGCAGAACAATTCTTTAATTGCTATATTGTGAGATTATAATGCTACAAAACCAAGGAGGTAAAGAATGAGATTACCAGACATAAACAGAAAAATTGATTATCATGGTATAATAAAAAAGCCTTATGAATTGCAGAGAATTCAGAAAATGTGATTTCTGATTCAATAACATTCATAGTCAATCAAAACCACAACCAATTGCCATCTCTACCCCCTCGGTTAGTACTTAACAGTTATTCAGAATTTACTATGGGCCAAGAACTGTTTTTGTGGTTTATTTATATTATTTCACTTAATTCTCTCCAGAACCCTATGATGTTGGTGCTATTGATATCCTCATTAAAAAAACGAGGAGAGAGACAATCGAGGAGACTTAATAACTTGCTCAAGGTCACATATCTAGTAACCAGTTGAATCAGTCTTTTTCTTTACCTAAAAAACGAAGCGAATGATGTTACCTCATCTTGTCCCTAGCAAATCTGTAATTTTGTGAGCATTCATAAATTCTCACTTTTTTCATTTAAAGACAATTTAAAATTTCATCCATTCAACCTTAAGATATTATGCAGCTTTGGGGGCTGGCCCGTGGCTGAGTGGTTAAGTTTGCATGCTCTGCTTCGGCGGCCCAGGGTTTCGCCGGTTTGAATCCGGGGCGCGGACATGGCACTGCTCATCAAGCCATGCTGAGGCAGCATCACACATGCCACAACTAGAAGGACCCACAACTAAAAATACACATCCATGTACCAGGGGGCTTTGGGGGAGAAAAAGGAAAAAAATAAAATCTTTTAAAAAAACCCGAAAAAAGATACTATGCAGCTTTAATTAGCCTAACCAAGCTCTTCAGAAAATTTATTTTTCCTTTAAGTCTTTTTACCTAAGAAATTCTCATTAGCATAAAAAATTCAAGATCAAATATTGTAAGACTGCAAAGAAAATTCATTAGCAACTATTAAAATCCTGACCAAAAAACAGCAAGGAAGGAATGCAACACAGACAATTGTAACTGCAAATACATGTCAATTAAACCTATTTCCCTCTGCTTCATTCTCTCAAGTCACCAAGTTCCAATAATTTTCATTTTGAAATGTCTCATTCTTTTCTCTTTTCCATTCCAATTCTGATTCTCATCATTTCACACCTGGGTTATTTTAACAGTTTTTTTCTTTCTGTTTTATTGTCCCTCCTAACAATCCATTTATTTAAATTCTCCTAAAACACCCGCTGCTCATCATATTACTTCTGTTTTAGTTATTGTCCCAGAAAGGAGCACTAGACCTAGCATTCATGCTCTACATAATTAACCCAACCAACCCAATTTCCCTACAAAGTATGCTGTGTGAAAAGAAAATGGGCTTGGGGTCAGATCGGCATCCCAGCTTTGCCGTTTTTATTACCAATAAGCGCCTGGACGTGTTACTAAACCTCTTGAAGTGTCAACTTCCTAAGAGGGCACTTGTATCATCTATCTAACCAGATTAAATAAGATAATACAAATAGAAAGCATCTAGACAGTGCCTGGGACATTAGCAGAAACTCAGTTACTGCTCTTACTCTGCTTTTCCTAAAAGCGAGGTCCTTTGCTCCCACCTGTGTGAAACAAATCATACTCATTGCTGGAAACAAGCTGGTAGTTCATGCTGCTCCTTCCTTAGTAAATGCTATGCAATTCTGCACTGTGCCTATAACAATTCTATCTACTTCAGGAATCAGCTTAAATTCTATTTCACCTAGGTCCATTTCTGCCCACCTTGATCTTCTGCTGCTCTGTATTTCTAAAGAATCTGTATGTACCACCTTTTTGGGGCCCCTAAGCTTATCACTACTCAAGTGTTTTACAGGTAAGAGAAGTTATTTCCCAGCTATATTGTAAGTTTCTTCTTCAAATCCCCTTTATGCCTAATATGAATTCCACAAAATATTTTGTTGAATAAACACATTTCATTATTGTTTGAAGTATTGATGTCAGGCAAAAAACAGTTATTTTCCATTGAAAGGGGGAGAAAACAGACTGAACAAAAATGTTTCACCCCACAGTACTCATAAATTCAGCAAGAATGACTAGTAGCCCAAGCCAGTTATAAATGCATATATTTTTTTCATTTCATTGTTTTTCTCCCTCCTCCTAAAAGAAATAGGGAGGAAATATAATTTATAATGACAAGTTAGTCCACAGAAGTTGCAAACTGGCAAATGAGTTAAACCTGATCCATAGCCATGTCTGGTTAGCCAGTAAAGATTAATTTTTTTTAAATTAGTTGTTAGCATTCAAGAAATGGGGAATATCACATAAAAATTCCAGATTTCTTGCTTCTCTTGAAAAATAGCAAGACCTGACAACAGTGGACTCCTGTTCCCAAAATTAAAAGCCATCAACTAGGACCCCTCTCAGACAGAGCCTGTACCTCCAATTCAAGAGCACCTTCACTTTCAGTTACCTGACTAATCTTAGAAGCATCAGAGTTTTTAATTCCTAGCTTAACATTTATGACCTTTTCAATTGGGAATCTTTACTACTAATTTCAAAAAGAGAAAATATACACATGTTGAGTTAAATAAGAATACACACTAAACAGTGAACTAGTACTGCATGCACAAAGTGATAATGCCTACCTTTTTAAATTGCTGGAAAATCATTCAGAATTGGTTAATCTTTGTAATTGTATCAAATAGAGATTCCCAGAAAAGAGCAAGGTAGAATTTATGGTCTATCCTACTATAATTTTTTTTTAATAATAATTGATCAAAAGAAGAATACTCATCCTGGCAGAGATGCTTTAGACTAGTATTTTCTGGTGGCATACAGTAATTTCCCATAGAGTTCTGAGTATCTGGATCTACCAGCTATCACATGAGCAATACATGTAGGTTCTGGGGGTCAAGAACCTTTGCAGAGATGACAAAAAAAATCCAGGAAAGTTCATATAGCAAACAGACCAGAAAGTATAAAACAACATAAAATACTTGGGATGAACGCTACTCACTCTGATAAAAGTATAGGGACTTTGGATTAGGGTTCCTACTGTACTGAGGATGCTCTGTAGTTCTCTCTCTGTATAGTAGTCCCCAGTTCCCTATGTCAGGTTGTCTTTTCTGCTGTTGCTTGGGCTGAAAGACAAAAAGGCGCGAGTCTAGCTAACATGAGAATAACATCTTCGGGGATACTACATATTCTTTCCCAGCAAGTAATTAATTCATCATTTCCAGCGTACTAGGTTATATAAAAATAAAAGACTCCAAAGTTAATTCTAGTAAATACAAACCTCACTTTCCCAGTTACTGCTATAAGGAAAGTTTTCATTGACTAGTATAATCTATCTCACAAAAAGAGGCTACTGTATATTATTTGCAGCTGAAGAAGACAGGTTTTAGAAAAACTCTGATTGGCATTCCCATCTTAGATGGCTCTCATTTGTTCCATTCTGCCCAAACATGCTTAAATCAGGGATTGGCAACAACTTTCCTGTAAATGATCAGACAGGAAATATTTTAGGCTTCACAGGGCATACAGTCTCTGCTATAACCACTCAACTCTGCTGTTGTCATGCAAGAGCAGTCACAGACAATATGTAAACAAATGAGGATGGCTGTGTTCCAATAAAACTATACTTATGACCATTAAAATTTGAATTTCATACAATTTCCACATCAGAAAGTGTCACTGTTTTGATTTTTTCCCCAACCACTTAAAATGCAAAAAACATTCTTAGCTCATGGGCTGAACAAAAACAGATTGTGAGCCAAAAGTCTGCCAACCTCTGGATTAAATAAGCAAATGACTTTAGTGTAATCATCACTACAGATGATGCAGGGAAGCTATGTACACATGGGACTCAAGTATAGGTAGTATTAACTGTTGGATTCTCTCATCCAAAGCTGAATGTAAAGTATTATTTGCTATTGCTAAGCAGCTTCATCTCTTAATTAAGTACATGTTCATCACCCAATAAGGGGAAAGGACTAGAAAAGACAATCTCATCCAAACCTGTATCCCCAGGCCTGGTTTATATGGAGAGTTACAGCTATGACGTAAAAAACGACAGTAATGCTCTTGGTACAAACCTGCCTCTGTTCAGCACATTGTTTTCTTCTCAACAAGGCTAAATGAATCCATGATGTCTTAATAATTATAAAATCATTCAGTAACTAAACCTGGAAGATATCTGTATTCCTGAAACTGATAGGTTTTCTCTGCCCAGTACATTTTCCTTTCTCACTCTTTCAGGTAACAGAATCTCTTTTTCTTGTGTGAGGATATTTCATTTGCTTTGGGCAGGCCTCCTTCTCAGGGCCAGACCGGTCTCAGGAGTGGGCACATGATCCAAGCGTGGGCATGTGACTCACGGGCCAATCAATCAGTCCTCCCTCAATTTTACTGGTACTACTGGGAAAGGAGGCAGACAATGTTCTGGGATTACCAGTTGTGAAGACAATACAATGTAAACCTGGTGCTGCTGGTGGCCATCTTTGCCACAAGGGAGGAAGAGTCCATTCAACAATTAAAATAAGGTAGGCAAAGCCAAAATGGGTAAGGAGGAGAGTGCTAAGACAAAGAGGGGTTGAACTCCTGCGTCCACCTTGCTGAGGACAGATAGCTCCACCCCTTAGACTTCCCAGTTATGTTTATGTGAGACAAATTCTGGTTTTGCTTTAGTTTGGTTTGAGTTTCTATCACCTCCAGTGCAAAGTCCTTAGTAATATTAGAATCAAATGCTAAACATTGCTCTACTAAAACTCTCAAACCTAAGAGAATAATCAATGCATATCAAAATGAAAGATACTCCACGAGTTCAATTGAGATGTCCTACAGCAAAGAAACCTACAAAAGAAACCAATAAATCCCATTCTTTTACTTTTAACATATAAAAGTACACAAGTCACAAATGTAAAGCTTAAATTTTCACAAATTAAACCCAACTGTGTAACTAGCATTCCAATCAAGAAACAGAATATCATCAGTACCCCCCAAAAGCTTCCTCACACTCTTTTCAAGTTATTACCCTTTCCCCCAAGGATAACCACCATGTTGACTTCTAACACCTTACATCAGCTTTTCCTGTTCTTGAACTTTTATAAATGGAATTACACAGTATATACACATTGTGCCTGGCTTTTCTCAAATTGTTTTTGAGAGTCAACCATGCTAACCAAACTGTAGTCCATTCATTCTCATTCCTATCTATTCTAGTCTACTGTATGAATAAACCACTACCCATTCTAGTGTTAATGGGGATTTAGGAACTTGCCAGTTTATGACTATGACAAATACTGCTATTATGAACATTACTGTATGTGTCTTTTGAATAACATACATACACATTTCTGCTTAGTATAGACCTAGGAGTAGAAATGCTGGGTCATAGGGTATGTGTATGTTCACCTTCAGCAGATACTACCAACAGTTTCCCAAAGTAGTTATACAAATTTACTCTCTCCTGGCAACTTAAGAGCCTTGGCAATGTGTGAGCATTCCAGTTACTCCATATCTCACCAATACTTGTATTGTCTGCTTCATTGGGCTGAATGGTGGCCCAAAGATGTGTCTACATCCTAATCCCTGGAATCCGTGAACATGATCCTATACAGCAAAAGATGTAATTAAGGGTCTCAGGAGGAGGAGCATACCCTGGATTATCCAGCTGGGCCAAAGATGTAATCACATGTATCCTTATGAGAGAGAGGCAGACAGACTTTTGAGATAGACACACAGAGGAGAAGGTGATGTGAAGACAGAGGCAGAGACTAGAGTGACGTGGCCATAAGCCCAGGAAACGCATGCAGCTACCAGAATCTGGAAGCAAGGAATGCATTCTCTCCTGGAGCTTCTACAGGGAGCGTGGCACTGCCAACACCTTGATTTCAGACTTCTGGCCTCCAGAACTTTGAGAGTAAATCTCTTGTTTTAAGCTGCCCAGTTTGTATTAATTTGTTATTGCAACCCTAAGAAATTAATACATCAGCCTTTCTACTTTAAATATTCTTATGACAGTGCAGTGATATCTCATTGCAGTCTTATAATTTTCATTGCCATTAAGAGTAAGGCAGCTGAGCACAACTGCATATGCTATTGGCCATTTGGGTCTCCTCTTTTGTTAAAGTTCCTATTTAAGTTTTTTGTACATTTTTTCTGTTGGATTGCCTTCTGCTTATTATATCTTCTACTCTGGCTGTCTTTCCCTTTTTAACGGTGTCTTGAAACCAAAACACCTTACTCTAAATTTTGATAACAATTTTCCTTTATGGTTAGTTATGTAATAAATCTTTGCTTACTTCAAGGTCATGAAGATGTTCTCTACTTTTCTTCTACATTTTATTATTTTACCTTTCACATTTAGATCTGCAATCCATCTAGGGTTTTTTTTTAATATATAAAACGAGGTAGGGATTAAGATTCATGTTTTCCCCAATATGGTTATCTAATTAACCCAAAACCATTTATTGAAAAGACCACCCTTTCCCGATTGCACTGCAGTTTCACCTTTGTCCACACACTGGGTACTATACACGTACGGGTCTTTTCCTAGATTCTCAATTCTTTCCACTGGTCTACCTGTTTTAAATTACTATAGATTTTGGATCTCTAGTATCAGCTTAGGTTGGGATATCTGGTATCAGTTTTATTCTTCCTCAAGATTGTGTTGCTTATTCTTGACTCTTTGCATTTCCATGCAAATTTTAAATTCAGTTTGTCAATGTCTATTAAAAAAGAAAAAAAAAAAGACCTGATAGGATTGTGTTGGACACATGGTGTTTAATCTACAGGTGTACAAACACAGCAAAATATTCCTCAATTTATTTAGGTCTTAAGTTCCCAATAATGTTTTATAGTGTTCGTGAAGAGGTCTTACATGTCTCCTGGAGATATCTGTAGATATCTGATTTGTTAAAATCGACTATATGTAGTATCTTTTAAAAATCTCACTATCTGTTTGTTGCCAGCTTCTAAGGTGTCCCCCAATGATCCCCAAGCCTCTTAGTATTAAGTTCCCTCCCACATTTTATCAGCATTGGTCTGGATGATCAATAAGAATACTGTGGAAGCGATGGTGTGTCACTTCTGAGTCTAGTCACAAAGACATAGTGGCTAGTGCCTTGCTCTCTTCTCTTGGATTACTCACTCTGGGGAAGCTGGCTACCATGTTGTAAGGAGAGGTCCACATGTTGAGCAACTGAGGCCTCAGGCCAACAGCTGTATAAGTGAACTTGGAAGCAAATCCTTCAGCCCTGGTCAAGTCTTTGGATGACTGCAGCCTTGGGTGACAACTGGACTGCAAACTCAAGAGAGACCCTAAGTCAAAACCACACAGCTAAGCCACTTCTATATTCCTGACAAAAACTCTGAGATAATAAACGTTTGTTGTCTTAAGCCACTAAGTTTTGGGGTAATTTTTATGGTAGCAATTAATAACTAATATAGTTACTGGTATATATGTATCTTTGCTTCTGTTCTTGTCCTCCTATGGTCTATTTTCAATACAGCAGCCAGTGATCATGTTAAAATCTAAAGTAAATCACACTGCTTGCTTACTCAAAATCCTCCAGTGGCTTCCCAATTCACCAAGAGTAAAAGCCAAATTCCTTACCATGACTTGAAGGCTCTTCATAATCTGGTCCCCCATTACCTGACCTCCTCTCCTACTCCTACTCCTCCCTGATCATATACACTGCCAGGTATGTTCCTGTCTCAAGGCCTTTGTACTGGCCGTAACCTCTATGCTCCAGAAATCCTTATGACTAGGCTCCCTCACCTCCTTCAGGCATATGTTCATATGTCATCTTTTCAGGGAGGACTTCCCTTACTACCCTATTTAATACTGCCCCCAGCATCCTTTATTACCATTTCCAGTTTTTTCTTCAATACCCTTATCTCAATCTGAATTTACTATTAAATTACACTTATTTTGTTTATCGTCCCTTTACTAAAATGTTACCTCTGTAATGGCAGGGATTTTGTCTATTTTGTTTACTAATGCTTAAAATAATGCTTGGCACATGGTAGACATTCGATAGCTGTTGAATGCATGAATGAAACTGCACTGCCACCTTGCCAGCACAGAACCTGTAGTAGCCAAGTATTTACCCCAAGGCAAGAAACTGGAATAGGCTCT